AGGCTACAAATTGCTGCCACCTTACCTTAGAGTTATTCAAGGAGATGGAGTAGATATTAATACCTTACAAGAGATTGTTGAAGGCATGAAGCAAAAAAAGTGGAGTATTGAAAATGTGTCCTTTGGTTCTGGTGGAGCTTTGCTACAGAAGTTAACAAGAGATCTCTTAAATTGTTCCTTCAAATGTAGTTATGTTGTAACCAATGGCCTTGGGATTAATGTCTTCAAGGATCCAGTTGCTGATCCCAACAAAAGATCAAAAAAAGGTCGATTATCTTTACATAGGACACCAGCAGGGAATTTTGTAACACTTGAAGAAGGAAAAGGAGATCTTGAAGAATATGGTCATGATCTTCTTCACACTGTCTTCAAGAATGGAAAAGTGACAAAAAGCTATTCATTTGATGAAGTGAGAAAAAAATGCCAACCTGAATATTGAACTGGAAGCAGCACCTCACTAGGATTTGTTTATGACTGTATGAGTGTGTACATGTGTATATGGGCATGTGCGCACATGTACACTTGTGTGAAGGTGCAGGAGAGTGACAATGTGTGTATGTGCGCACGCACGCGCGCATGTGTGTGTGTGTATGTATATGTAATACATAATGTTTATTGTATAGATGTGTGGGGTTTCTTTGTGTTTTATGATACATTACAGCCAAATTATTTGTTGTTTTATGGACATACTGCCCTTTCATCTTTTCATTTTTTCCAGTGCATAGGCGATCTCAAATTAGGAAACACACCTAACTATGTAAAAGATTAATGTCAAAGTAAGCTTTTTAAGGCCCTTTGCCAACAGATAGTAATTCAATCTGGTTTTGATCTTTTCACAAATAACAAACAGAGCTGAGAAATTTTTATATATAACTGAAGATCACATAAAGCAGATTTGCATAAAATTATCATGATTGCTTTATGTTTGTATTTAACTTGTATTTTTGTACAAACAAGATTGTGTAAGATATATTTAAAGTTTCAGTGATTTAACACTTTCCAACTTTTCATGATTTTTATGAGCACAGACTTTCAAGAAAATACTTGAAAATAAATTACATTGCCTTTTGTCCATTAATCAGCAAATAAAACATGGCCTTAACAAAAAAAAACCAAAAACAAACAAACAAAAAAAACAACAACAAAAACAGGCTTCCTTCTTGCTCATTTAGAAACTTTGGGGGAAAACACTGTCAGTATAGACCATGTGGAATCTCTAACTCAAGCAACACCGGGTTATTTGGCACCTCGAAGGAGGTGAGAAGCCACTTTTAGAAGGGAGGAACTGGTTTCCTCCTTTGTCATTCAGGTACATTGGGGGCGGGGGAACTGCTGTCAACCTTGACTACATGACTCCTATATCAAGCAACATATGGGTCCTGGACCTCTCAACAGAGGTGAGAATCTGTTTCAAGAAGGAACAACAGGCTTCCTCCGGGCTCATACAGGTACAGTGGGGGAAAATCTCGTGTCAGGCTTCACTACGTGGAACCCATAACTCAAGGAATTGGGCTTTTTAGGCACCCCCAACGGAAGCCAGAAGCCACTTTCAGAAGGAAACAACAGGTTTCCTCCTTACTCATTCAGGTACTTTGGGGGGAAAAACTGCTGTCAAGCTAGGCCTCATGGGACCCATTACTGAAGCAACAGGGGGGTCCTGAGAACCTCAAGGGAGGCAATAAGCCACTTACAGAAGGGAATAACAGGCTTCCGCCTTGCTCATTCATGTATTTTGTGAAAAAAAATGTTGTCAGCCATGACCACCTGAGACACCTATCTCAATCAACATAGGAGTCCTGGGCACCTTGATGGAGAGAAGAAGACACTTCAAGAAGGTAACAACAGGCTTCCTGCTTAGTGATTAAGGTACTTTAGGGGAAAAAAATCTACTGTCAGGCTTTACCACGTGGAGCCCCTATCTCGAGCAACAGGAGAGTCATGGTAACCTAGATGGAGATGAGAAGGCACGTTCAGAAAGGAGCAATAGACTTCCTCATTGTTCATTCAGGTACTTTTAGTAAAAAACTGCTTTCATTGTAGATCATGTGGGACCACTATCACAAGCAACAAAAAATTTCTGGGCACCTTAACGGAGGCAAGAAGCCACTTTCAGAAGGGAACAACAGACTTTCTCCTTGCTCGTTGTGGCACTTTGGGAAAAAACTGCTGTCAGGCGTGACCACATGGGACTCCTAACTCCAGCCACAGGCTGGTCCTTGGCACTTCGACAGAAGTGAGAAGCCACTTCTAGAAGGGAACAACAGACTTCCTCCTTGCTCAATCAGAAACTTTTGAGATAAAACAGCTGTCAGGTTTGAACTTGTAGGACTTGTAGCTCAAACAACAGGGAGCTGCTGTACATCTTGATGGAGGCAAAAAACCACTTCCAGAAGGGAAAAACAGTCTTCCTCATTGCTCATTCAGGTAATTGGGGGGGGGGATGCTGTCAGGCTTGACTACGTGAGACCCCTATCTCAAGCAACGGGGGGGGGGGTCCTGGGCACCTATACAGAGGGGGAAAGCCACTTCCAGAAAGGAAAAACAGACTTCTTCTTTGCTCATTCAAGTACTTTGGGCAAAAATATACTGTCAGGCTTGACCTCTTGGGACCGCTATGCCAACAGCAGGGAGGTCTTCTGGAATGCGATGGAGGAGAGAAGCCACTCCAGAAGGAAACCGGAGGATTACTCCTTGCTCATTAAGATACTTGCGGGGGGGGGGGGAGGGGGATGCTGTTAGGCTTGGGCATGTGGGATTCCAAATCAAGCAACAGGGCACAGGGGGAAGGCGTCCTGGGCATCTCAACATAGGAGAAGAGCAACTTCCAGAAGGGAAACACCAGCTTCCTTTTTGCTCATTCAGGTACTTTGGGAAGAAAAAAAACCCTTACTTTCAGGCTTGACAAGGTAGGACTCCAAACTCAAGCAATGGGCATGGTGGGGAGGGTGTCACTGAGCACTTTGACACAAGCGAGAAACCACTTCCAATGGTAAACAACAGGTTTCCTCCTTGGTCATTCAGTTACATTTGCAGAAAAGTATTGTCAGGCTTGATCACGTGGGGCCCTATCTCAAGCAACTGGGGGATCCTGGGCACCTCTACAGAGACAAGAAGCCACTTCCAGAAGGGCACAGTAGGATTCCCTTTTGTTCATTCATGTATATTACGGGGAAAAAAAACAGTTGTGAGGCTTGACCACATAGGAACCCTATCTTAAGTAAAAGAGGATTCCTGGGCTCCTCGATGGAAGCGAGAAGCCTCTTCCACAAGGGAACAAGAGGCTTCCTTTTTTCCCATTAAGGAACTTTGGGGACATATTGCTGTCATGCTTGACTACGTTGGACCCCAAACTCAAGCAACAGGGGGGTCCTGGGCACCTCAACGTAGGAGAAAATAAACTTCCAGAAGGAAACATCAGGCTTCCGCTTTGCTCATTCTGATAGTCTAGGGAAATACCAGCTGTCAGGCTTGACCACGTGGAACCCCTATCTAAAGCAACAGGAGTCCTGGACACCTCGATGGAGGCGAGAAGGCACTTTGACATTTTTTTCTAAATTTTATTATTTTTTTGTGAGTATACAGTCAAATCAGATCTGACTGGTACAGGAGGAGATTGTCCCTCCTTCCCCGGCAGAGCATCTGGTGGATTCGAACTGTGCTCCTCTGGGATTGTAGTTGCAGCTCCTTGCCACTAGGCCACCGGAGCTCCCCGAGAAGGCACTTTGGGAAGGGGAAAACAGGCTTCCTCCTTTCTCATTCAGGTAATTTGGGGAGGGGGGAACTGTTGTCAGTCTTGTCCCAATGGATCCTCTATCTCAAGCAACAAGGGGGTCTTCACCTCATCGATGGAGGTGAGAAGCCACTTCCTGAATAGAACAACAGGCTTCCTCCTTGCTCATTCATGTACTTTGGGGAAATAACTGTTGTCAGGCTTAACCACATGGGACCCCTATCTCAAGCAATAGTGGGATTCTGGGCACCTTGATGGAGGCAAGAAGCCACTTACAGAAAGGAACAACAGGCTTCCTCCTTGCTCATTCAGGTACTTTGGGGGGAAAACTGCTGTCTGGACCACACGGGACCCCAAAATTCAAGTAACAGGTGGGTCCTAGGCACTTCAACATAGGAATAAACAAGTTCCATAAGGGATTATCCAGAACACAAGCTAAAGAGGGGTCCTGGGCACCTCTATGGAGGCGAAAACCCACTTTCAGAAAGGAAAAAAGGGCTTTCTTCTTGCTCATTTGGATACTTTGTGGAAAAAACTACTGTCAAGGTTGACCACGTTGGACCCCTAACTCAAGCAACAGGGGAGTACTGGGCACTTCAAAGGATGTGAGAAGCCACTTCCAGAAGGGAATATCATGCTTCCTCATTGCTCATTCAGGTATGTTGGGGGGGGAAATCTGTTGTCAGGCTTGAACAGGTGTGACCCCTAACTCAAGCAACAGGGGGAACTGGTCATTTAGATAGAAGCAGAAAGCCACTTCCTAAAGGGAACAATAGGCTTCGTCCTTGCTCAGACAGGTACTTTCAGAAAAGAAAAAAAAAAGTTGTTAGGCTTGACCACGTGGGAATCCTAACTGTAGCAAGATGGGGATTCTGGGTCCCTCGATGCAGGAGAAAAGCCAGTTTCAGAAGGGAAAGACAGGTTTCCTCCTTGCTCATTAAGGTACTTTGGGGAATTAACTACTGTTAGTCTTGACCACGCAAGATCCCTTATCTCAAGCAACAGGGAATTCCTGGGCACCTTGAAGGAGGCGAGAAACCTCTTCCACAAAGGAACAACATCTGGTTGTTCATTCAGGTATTTTGGTGAAAAACTGCTGTCAGGCTTGATCAGGTAGGACCCCTAAATCAAGCAACAGGGGGGTCATCGTCACTTTGATGGAGGCT